CAGGGACCACTCCCGCCAAACAGGCCACGCCCCCAGATGGGCCACGCCCCAAACCAGGACACGTCCAGCCAATGGCAGCACCCCAAAACAGGCCACGCCCCCCAACCGGACCACACCCCAGACCACGCCCTAAAACATCCCACGGCCCCAAATCAGACCACAAATAAGTCCCGCCCACAACAAACCACGCCCCAAAACGTACACCCCCATCAGGCCACGCCCCCAGACATCCCACCAATCACATCGCACCGGAACTAAGCCCCGGATGTTGTCCCCGCGCGTGCGCAGTTGCCGGAGGGCGCGTCCCGCAGTGGGTTCCTGGAGCGCAGTGACCCCTGGCGGGCGGTGCTGGGAATGCAGCGCGGGAGGACACGGCGGGACGGGGATAGAGGGATACAGGGATAGAGGGACACGGGATATAGGGACATGGGATATAGGGATATAGGGACACGGGGATATAGGGATACAGGGACATGGGGATATAGGGATACAGGGGGACAGGGATAGAGGGATATAGGGACACGGGGATATAGGGACACGGCGGGACAGGGATAGAGGGATATAGGGATACAGGGATATATGGACATGGGGATATAGGGACACAGGGATATATGGACACAGGGATATAGGGACACGGGGGGACAGGGATAGAGGGATATAGGGACACAGGGATATATGGACATGGGGATATAGGGACACGGGGGGACAGGGATAGAGGGATATAGGGACACAGGGATATATGGACATGGGGATATAGGGACATGGCAGGACAGGGACACAGCACGATACGGGGACAGGGACACAGGGAGACAGGGACAGAGGGATATAGGGATACAGGGATATAGGGATGCAGGGATATATGGACACGAGGGGACAGGGACAGAAGGATATATGGGGACAAGGGACACAGGGAGCAGGGATATAGGATCACAGGGGGACAGGGACACAGGGAGACAGAGGGACATAGGGACAGGGACACAGGGATATAGGGACACAGGGATATAGGATCACAGGGGGACAGGGACACAGGGAGACAGAGGGACATAAGGACAGGGACACAGGGATATAGGGACACAGGGAGACACGGGGACAGGGACACAGATGTAAGGACATGGACACAGGGATATAGGGACACAGGGGGACAGAGGGACATGGGGACAGAGAGACAGGGACACAGACATGGATATGTGGATGCTGGGACATGGCCATATATGGACAGGAACACACGGATATATGGACACATATGGAGACATGGAGATTTGGACACACATGGACATGGACACATGGTCACCTCCAGCAGCCCCTGGGACAGACACACATGGTCCTGCACAGCCCTGGGAGGACAGACAGACAGGGATGGACAGACAGACAGGGATGGCCATGGATGGACACAGGGCTGGACAGACCCACACCCAGAGGGACAGACAGACACAACCCCCACAGACCAACCTGGCGCCGAACTGCTTTGCCCAAGCAGAGTTTATTGGCCACGAGCAGCCGCGGTGGGAGCTGAGCCCTCCTGGTCCAGGGGAGCTGTGAAGGCTCCTCCAGGACCTCCAGAGCCTCCCAGATCCCAAATCCACCTCCCTGAGGTGGGACAGGGGCATGGAGCTGCCTCTGGAGCTTGGTGTGAGCCAAGGTGGGACTTGGGCATTGGCTCATCCCAAGGGTTGTTACTCCATCCTGAGGGTCATTCCCCCATCCTGGAGCTGTTCCCTCCTCCCAAGGTCATTCCCCCATCCTGGGATTGTTCCTCCATCCCACAGAAGGAAGTTCAGCTCCAAAGGGTTGTAGTCCCCCTGCTCCTCACCCCCAAGCAGAGCTGGCAATGCCAACACCACCTCATCCAGGTGGATAAAATTCCCCTCTTGGAAAACCTCTGGTTCATCCCAGTCCTACCCATGGGATGGGTTTGAGTTGGTCATCCATGGGGACACAGCCCATGGCACCTCCTGGCTGGGATTTGTTCAATCCCATCCGTGTCCCTTTGGAAGTGAGGAGAGAATGAGCAGTGTGGAATTTTGGGAGGAGCAGAGGATGGCACTGATGGCTCAGTGGTGCCACCTCCCCATGGAAAACCACCCCAAGGCTTCTCCTTCCCATCAGTCTGACGGTTCAGGTCAAAAAGAACAAAAGGGATTGAGGCAATCCAACCTCAAAGTACCCATAAAAGGCTAAATCAGCTCACCCAGGGACTGAGGGAAGCAGGAAAACTCCTCCTGGTGGAGCCACATGGATCTCCACCACGGAGAGGAACACACAGCACAACTTCCAGTAGTGTCAAACCAACCCCAAGGTCCAAAACTCCTGCTCAGGATCACATCTCTTCCTCCACCTTGGCCACCCCAGGCTGAGCTCTCCCTTCAGCCGTGGGTGTGGAGCTCCAGGACCCGAGTCAGGAGATCTCGTTGCCGAAGACCTCGAGCACGAGGGGCGTGAGCTGCATACTGTGCTCGGGCTGGAAGGAGAGGCAGCGATACTGCTTGGAGTGCTCCTCGTTGAGGCTCCTCAGGTCTGCCAACTTCTGGATCATCTTGGCATACAGGAGGCGACTGCCTGGCAGAGGGTGACGGCAACGGATGTAGGTCTGGAGGATCTCCGAGAGCTTATCCTGCAGGGATTCCACCAGGGAAGTGTCCTGCACGCCTGGACGGTCTGAGGAACATCAACACAGGGGTCAGGGGTGGGAGTGGAGTGGTTGGGTAAGGGTTGAGCATTTCAAAGGTTTCCTCCAGCCTTGGTGGTTCTATGATCTTATGGTTCTAAGATAGATGGAGGTGTCCAGAGAAGGGGATGGAGATGGAGAAGGGGCTGGAGCACAACCTGAGTGACAAGTTAAGGGTTGGAGTTGATCATCTCCAAGGTTTCCTCCAGCCTTGGTGGTTCTATGATCTTATGGTTCTAAGATAGATTGAGGTGGTGGAGGTGTCCAGAGAAGGGGATAGAGGTGGAGAAGTGGCTGGAGCACAAATCCTGTCAGGAGAGGCTGATGGAACTGGAGATGTCCAGCCTGGAGAAGAAGAGGCTCAGGGGAGACCTTATCACTCTCTACAACTCCCTGACAGGAGGTTGGACCCAGGTGGGGGTTGGGATCTTCTCACAGGACAAGAGGAAACACCTCAAGCTGCACCAGGGGAGGGTCAGGTTGGACACCAGGAGGAATTTCTCCATGGAAAGAGGGGTTAGACCCTGCAATGTGCTGCCCAGGGAGGTGGTGGAGTCACCATCCTTGGAGATGTTCAAGGAACATCTCAGTGCTATGGTGTGGTTGCCGTGGTGGTATTAGGTAATGGGTTGGACCTGCTGATCTCAGAGAGCTTTTCCAACCTCTTGACTCTGGAATTCTCTCCCTTGTCCCAACTGGCTTTGATGGGAAGGTGGAGAAGAATGACATTTTTTGGGGCCACCCCAAACCCTGTGGCAGTTTGGTGGCCCCGAGGGCTGAGCATGGTCCTACCTGGGGACAGGATGCAGATGGCCATGAGGAGCACGTGCTCTTCCTCGTGGAGGTGCAACTTCTTCAAGCCAACCTGGAACTTCACCAGTGGCTCCAGCAGCTCCATGCTGTGTCCAGCTGGGAGAAGAATGGACAGTTAGCATGGACAGCTCTTCAAGAGGATGTCCAACAGCCAAGAAAAGAGTGTGGAGCTCAGCAGCTCCTCCAGCACAGCAGGGATGGGGGGAAAGGACTTTGGAGACAACTTCAGTTGGGCATTTTAGCTTCTCCAAGGGAAATTCTGGAGCACATTTTGCCTTTGGAAGCCATTCAGAAGATCAACCTGCAGATCTTCTCCCTCCTCCTCCAAGTTTTGGGTTACTCCAAGGCTCTTTCCAAGCACAAGGAGAGATTTAAGGTCCTCCTGAAGCAGGAGAACCTCCTGTTCTCCATGCTGGTCCCCAGATCCTCAAGGGAAGGAGATTTAGGGGAGGATCCACCACCTTGTCCAGCAGAAGGACTTTGTGGAGGTGGAGGGAATGACTTCCCATGGAAATCCATGGGTTGGGTTGAGGTTCCTCACCTTGGGTGACGTCGCTGATCCTGTACTTGAAGTCGTTGCTGCCACAGGTCCACGTCATGTCCTCGAGGGTGAAGGATTGGTTGGAACGGAGCATGATCACCTCGATGGCACTGGACTTGAGCAGAACAATCTGGTCCTCTGCTGACAGGTCCCTGCAGAGCAGGACAGACAGGCTGAGGTGACACTTGGCCATGAGGAACATGGGCTAGTGGTCATGGAGGTGTTGGGTCACGGGTTGGATTTGCTGATCTCAGAGGGTTTTGCCAACCTGATTCATTCTGGGATTCTATGGGAAACCCAAGTGTGGAATCCACCCATGGATGGACCTTCTGACTCTCCACAACCCCCTGAGAGGAGGTGTGACAACAAGAGGAAACACCTCAGGCTGCACCACGGGAGGTTCAGGTTGGACATGAGGAGGAATTTCTCCATGGAAAGGGTGGTTAGACCCTGGAATGTGCTGCCCAGGGAGGTGGTGGAGGTCACCACCCCTGGAGATGTTCCAGGACAAGCTGAGGAACATGTTCAGAGGAGCAGGAACCTGTCACCCCATCCAGGTCCCCATGGGTCACCCAACACTTTGTTGGGTGTCTCCAGCTGTTCCCTCAACCAGTGCAGGTGTTTCTGCAGGGACATTTGTGGTGGGACAGTGTCTGGAGAGGAACAGACCTGAGATCCTTCACAAACCCTTCCCAGGTCTTTGAGTCTTGCAACAGCTCAAGGAGTTTGGGTGAGTTTTCCAGAGATTGGAAAGAGAGGAAAACCCCAAGAAGGAGGAGAGACAGAAACCTGGGAAGGGACCAAAGCCAAGGGAGAACTGTGAAGGTCACCCAGACCTGACTGGGATGGGTAGGAAGAAGTTCCTGAGATAGGGAAAAACCCACCATGGCCACCAGATCTAGGAGCAAACATCTCACCTGAATCCTGGGATCATTTTGGCAAAGCCAATCACCTTCTGGATGCTGTAGCTGACCAGGTCAGCCAAGTGTGGGAGCATGGAGAGTTGGGAGAACTCCAGGTTCATGGAGGAGCTCTCGTCGTTCTCCTCGGAGAGGACCAGGCTGGAAAACATCGGAGGCTCCACAGAGTCTGCAGAGAAGGAGAAGCTCAGAAGGTGATGGTCCAACACCCCAAGGAGGATTTGACAGCCAAAGGAAGGTCTGAAGGAGCAGCGTTAGGTGGAGCTTCTCCTCCACCACTCATGGAGAGGTGAGTGTGGTACCTGGGAATGTGCTGAAGGTCTCAGAGCCATAGAGGTCGGTGGAGTCCTCTGAGGACAAGTCCTGGGTGAGGATGGAGGAGGACTTTGTTGCCTCCTTGTTGCTGGGTTGGCTTCTCACAGGAGGCTGGAAGAGAAAGAGGAGAGAAGTTCATGCTTGTCCTTCACCTCCTGCCAAGGATCTCCCAGGAGGATCCTTCTCCCCTCTCTGGTGGGAAGGTGTAGGATCAAAGAGGTTTGGAGCTTCTGGACTGGACCTAGATGGTCCTCCCTTCCCACCCCAGATCTGGGGTGGCCTGGGCATACCCTGAACTTGGTGAAGTCGGAGTAGGTTGGGTCGTAGGTTTTGCGATGAGCCTCAAGGAGGATGTCAATGACCTTCTGCTGCTCCTCCGAGAGTTTGGGCTTCAGGCTCTCCTTCAGGGCCTCCTCCTCCTTGCGCTTCAGGATCAGCTCACGCTTCCTCTGCACCTCCTCGTCCGTCAGGATGACTGGGGGGACAGGGACAGGGTCAGGGACAGCAGCTGGAGCAGCCCCAGGCCATGGCTGGGGGGTCTTGGTAGTAGTGACCTCACCTGGACCATCAGTGACCTCACCTGGACCATCAGTTCCTCAACTTCATCATCAGTTCCTCCCCCTGACCATCAGTTCCTCCCCCTGACCATCAGTTCCTCCCCCTGACCATCAGTTCCTGATCATCAGTTCCTCCCCTTGATCACCAGTTCCTCAACCTGAGCATCAGTTCCCCCACCTTGACCATCAGTTCCTCAACTTCACCACCAGTTTCTCAACTTCACCACATCAGTTCCTCAACTTCACCATCAGTT